AACCGTATTCGTTTCACCATTTAACGAAACCGGAAACATCATCTGTTATATTCCATCAATCAATATTACAGAAGATAATTGCTGCAGTCAACAGCAAGAATATCTTAAAGCAAATGAAATGTCGCCCCTTCGTATAACAGACATCGATTTCAATCTATTACGAACAGCTAAACATCAACTCGAAGGAATTTTATGAGATCCTTCAAGCAAGTATTAATAAACTATTTATAAGTAAACACGAAAAATGGCACAATAATATCATTATCTCTCTCGAAAATCAGTTTTTAGACTGTCTAATAAGGTTTCAAAAAATTTGAAATCAATTTCTGATACTTTCATTTTGCCGTTTCTATCAATCTTATCTATAAAGCTTCACAAATATGTTCGAGAAAAAAGTCGTTCACCACTAAATTCCTGAATTCTCAAAAATATTATCAAATTTTCTTTTTCTGAACTTGCAGAAAAAACGATCCTACTGACTGTGCCAACTGATACGAAAACGCATGAACCCATCTAATTTAATTTTTATTTGCGCATTTTTCGGAATAAAATTGATACATACAGGGTGATTCGTGTAGGAGGTATTTAGTGTTATTAATTATACCGATATTTTTACAATTATATTAATACAAAAACATTTCCGTTTAGTTAAATCTAGTGTAATTGTTTACTTTCATTACATTTCAAATTTCTTTGTTGCTTTGTTCAGTTCAACTGTATAACATTTCTTCAAATATTTCTTACTGTTTTTTTTATTGTTTGACTTTATATTTTGTGAATATTCTCGATGTTACACAGATAAGATGTACGTAAGGAATTCAAATAGTTCCGGCTTGTATAAATGAGGTTTTTCAGATTTTCACTAATATCTGGCTCATTGTTAGCTCTTTCTTATTTATTCTCAGAAATTTTCTGTATTTGGCTGCACTCGGCACCCTCTCGTATATGACGACATTCAGAAAATTCCAACATTTATCCACCACCATGAAATGTCTCAATAAAGCTCCACCCATATTGCTAGTTGTTCTCTAGTTTTAAGTAAATTTAAAGTTGTTAGCTAGTGTGTAAAAATTCTTCTTATTAAATACATTAAGCAAATTCGCTACTAATTTTATTTGAAAACATTCTAGTAGAATGGGAGTTCAAAAACGCAATTTCCGGTCAGTCTTCGGATAATTTTTATCTCATGACTGCACAAATTTTTGGTCCTTCAGGCCGAATAAAATAATACGGATCGGATCTACGGAAATATAAACACTTTAATCAAGTTATACAGTTACGCCGATAGATAGTGTCGCGAAGAAACAGTTCTTTCCACAATATACGCTATAAGCTAAAAGTTTTATTCAACAAACATTGAGTGTTCTTTGTGAATCGAATCAACGCCAGAAATCTAAGCAGTCACTAGGATACCAAGTTAACAGGATTCAACCGAGGAGACTAATTCCCCTGAACTTCGGTCTTCAATGCAGTTATCAGAGAACTTGTCAGTAGTAATTCTTTAAGTCGCCTTTTTTCCAATTTTTTTTTTCTCCTTTTGTTTCCTCACGAGTTAAGTAATCTATAAATTATCATAATGTCTGAATCACAAATCAAAACTCTAGGTGTTTGTAAAGCGCAACTTATAATGTTTCAAAAATCAGCGGCAGAGTGTAAAGAATGCAAACAAATTCCCTTACTCAAGATACAGATACAGTCGCTTAATGGAAACTTAGGATGATTTTGATAAGGTTCATACAGAAATTGAATTGAACTATGCTTGCTAATAATACATATCTTCAAGTGGTACTTTCAACAGCGAAACTTTTTATTCAAGACCATCAAGGAACTTATCACGTTTACAGAACACTTATTGAGTCCCAGCCACACTTCATAACTGAAAAATTGGCGAATAAGTTACAACTCGCATACAAAGTAATTTACATCCCAGTTACAGGTCTTAATCAAGTACCTACCTATATCAAATCACTAGTTAGCAGTACGATAAAATCAATTCACGCCGATTATAGCAAAAAACTCAAGTTCTTAGTCATACCATAAATAACACTTCCAGGACAACCAATAAACTTAAGTCGTCTTCAATTGCCTAATTTACCGCTTGTCGATCCTTCTTTCCATGTTCCAACGGAAATAGACGTACTTTTAGGAATGGAAATACTCTACAAGCTATTATGTGTCGGTCAACAAATATTAAGAAATTGCGGAGCAGTACTTCAAAATTCCCAACTTGGGTGGATTTTTGGAGAACGAGCTTTCACCAAAAGTTGCATCATACAACAATCTCTTTGTCATCTCAACGTAGACAATCTTAATCAAGAAATCTCCAAATTCTGGAAAATTGAAGAGGGGCCTGCAATAATATTTAAATCATCAGAAGAAAAGGCTTGCGTGGCACATTTTCACGAATGTGTACAAAGAGTTGACGCTGGGAAATTCATTGTGAAGCTTCCATTCAAAGGAAATGAAAGTGATCTTGGAAAATCATACAAAACAGCGTTACGTAGATTCTACTCGCTAGAAAAAGGGTTGATGTCAAATACTGAAGGAAGTTTCGTAACACAAAGAAGTTAAAAACTTATGCCGCAATCTTTGTATGTTTCGCAACGAAAGCCGTCCACATTAAAATCGTCACCGACCTCACTCCGGAAGGGTTTGTGGCTTAGAAACATCAACCAAATTCGCTATTGTTTTATTTGAAAACAATCTAGTAGAACGGGAGTTCAAAAACGCAATTTCTGAGCAGTCTCCAGATATCTTTTATCTCACGGCTGCACAGGAGGTATGACGGCTTTGATATTTTTTTCAAGTGATTTTTTATTATGAAATCCTTCAGAACACATTTTTACACATGATAAGATAATTTAAGAGTATAGAGGAAAAGAAATTAATACAAATATTCAATATTCTCCGAAATAATTTTTCTTGTAATAAATTTAAAATAAAGAAACAAATGGAATATAACTTTTATAAAATAATGAAAAATTAGTTCTTAATTTATATTAAGACTAAAAAAGTTGATTGCAGATGACGGTGAAACATAATAAATAAAATAGTACCTAGTAAATAAACACTTGGAGAAGTTTTACAATTTTTTTATTAATCCTGTATACATACAGTATTATTATTATTACTATAGTACCTATAAATACTAGGGTGACCCTTAGCTATAGAGCAACAATCTGCAAAACCAAATTTTTTTTTATTTTCATCTTTTGTGAGAATTTTATTATATTCCTGAATTAGTTTCACTTCTTTCTGCAACATCGTTCGCAACAACTGTCTTCTCCAGTTTTTTAATTGCACATAACCAGCATCATTGTTCCATGTTGAAGGATCTTTGTTGAAAAAATTAGTGCTCATAGAGAATATCGTAGATAGTTTTCGTCACGAGTTACAAAAGACAAAATCGTTGTTTGTAAAGGAAGAAAAACTTTTTTCTTCTTCCTGTTCTTCAGCTTTGGAACATTGTCATCAAATAAGGATAAAGCCACAGTTTCGGAAGTTAAATACCAAAGATGGTTTGAAAATGTTTTAACAGCGGCCTTACTAATTTCTAGATTAATATCCTGATAATTTAACAATTGACACTTGAATAAAAAATCGTGATAAGGTGCCTTAATTGCTTCGGATGATAGAAAGCAGACTCGATCATAAACTCCAGCAAGAAAAATAAATAATCTTTTCAAAGATTTCTTCTCACCATTGCACAACTGAAATTGATCTTGAAATAGATAAATCTTAAACAAACAGGAATTCATAACTATGCGTACTGTTAAAAAAGTAAAATATATATCGTTTCTCAGTAGGTACCTACATAATTTCATCCACTAATAGACATTTCGTAAAAATTAAAATTAAATGTTTATTTAAATTTTGCTAGTTTTTCCATAAAGACGTAAAAATATTATTTATATTTATCAGTCCGAGTTTAATTAAATTAACGGAAACTCGAATTAATTTACTTTACTAATTGATTATTATTAAAAACTGGTAAAATAAAATCACAAAGCATATCTGACAGAAAATGAAATGACTAAAGAAACATTTCTGAAAATATGACTTTTTGAACGAAAATTTCGAAACTTCATGGTGGATTAAGTTCGCCTCGCATGAGCTAAATTTTTGCACATATCGTTTCTTTATTGAGTGAAACAAGATAGGCGAGTGGGAGCTAAACTTTTAAAAATTGAAAATTAGGGCCACCCTAATGGACATGTATCCAAAACTCGAAATTTTGTTTATAACTCGAAGACAAAAAACGATAGCAAATTTTTTGAAAACACTAATAAATTTGTCTAGATCTAGAAATCGCCATTAATTTTTTTGTATCTCTTATAGTTACCGAGTTGTCCAATAGAAACGACGAAATTATTAATATAGGAAGAAGTTGATAAGAGTCGGGGCTACGGTTACATTTTACAACTTTTTTGTGTTCCTGATTTGTTTAAAAAACAAGGTTTATGTATAAATATCTGAGTCTAACATAACAAATATGTTTGATATCCGACAATCCTTTGCGACAATTACTTCGGTTTATCGAAGTTTACTTATATGACTATTATATTATTATTGACAGTTAATAATCAACTGACAAATTCGGCCATTTTCACTTCGAAAAGTTAAGAAATCTATTTCGGTAGGTACTTCACATACCAAGCGACCCTAACATACAATTCCGTGCGCGCATCTGCTGAATTTTTCGAAATGGCAATTTTCGCATTATCGGTTGCTACCGACAGGTTAGCTTCTGATGCTATATAAAAGGACTCCTTTAGAACATAGTCACCAGACGTGGCCCTAATCGAAGTGCCTATACCCTTCTAATTCCCAAAATCCGGAGGCAGAAGCCGCCCTATCCTCCTTTTGTTTTCTTAAATATTTTGAAAATAAAATAATTACATTTAATCCTTAGTGCATTTTATGGCTGGTATTCTTATAAATTTTCTGAAGATTGCAAACTATGCCACATAGTAGTTAAATCAGTAAAAAAACAATTGGTGTGTACTTAACGACTTTTATTATCAAATATAGACAGCCTGAAGATAAAACATACTAACAAGAAAATAAGTTTCTGGACTAGAAGTAGCTCTAGGAGTTTTTCGTGATGAAACAAAAAAGAAAAAAATGAATTTCACTGAGCACTTAACAAAAAGCAACGGTAGAAATAAAGGATAAGGTACTTCCATTGGCTGTTGTTCTCAACACACATTATTGGAATTATTATGCTACTAATAATAGAAAATCAAGTTATCACCCTATAGTATGAAATCCTCGCTTTTTTATTTTAATGCCATCATGTTTTATGCCGTCATAATGGAAAATAACTAAAAATAAGAAACACAATAAATTAATTTAATAGAGTCTAGATTCATACACCAAATTTTATCTTACATAACGAGTATAAGAGAACTGGTTTACAGACTCACAAGCAAACCGAAACTCGAAGAGTTATTAGTTCACCACGGAACCCTAAAAATGCCTTTCAGGTAAAAAAAACATTGAGATCAAAAGCCTTTGAAACACCTTATTGTCCTTTAGTAAAGCATAGTTCTACCTTCTTAATTCAAATATTAATGTACATGTAGATAATAACAACCTAGAGTTCTTTTTGTTATAAGCATCCCCTAATAAAATCAAATTAAAAAATTTACTGTCGGGGCCTGACATTAACCATGCTATGTTGTCTTTGACATAATCTATTATGATAGCTACCTTAGTTGAATCGATTACTTAGCTGCTATGAAAGTGTAAGAATTTTTATGGCATCCAAAAAATAACATCGAGAAGTTCTACACTGTTAAAGTTATGGAGTAAAATCAATAAAAATTTATCTATTCGATTTCGCAATGTTCAAAATCAAGTACGAGTTTCTTTTGGCAAAAAACGCATACGGTTGCTTATAAGAACTAAAAGTTAGAGAAATCACTTTGTATGATTCCTTTTCTAATTTACTAGGCAATACTGTTAAAGTAACCAGAATCTTGATGAACCGAAACCAAATACAAATAAATAATAAATTCTCCATGCACAGTAACAACATGGTTATTAATTAAGTATGTGTTTGACAATAAGAGTAAAAATGAAGCAAGAGACAAAATATAACTTGGAGAAAATTTTCTTCTATTAAAATAAAATACCTGGATACATAACAACTGTCAATGTATAATCAGCAGTCAATATTTAGTTATATATGTGGTATACTGCTCCAGAAATGCATGTGTTTACTAAAAGAAAAAACAAAGAATCTTAGTAAAATAATATTACCAAAACGTACAATCATCCCCTCTAAAATACCTGTTAAACAACCGCTTTTTTCTGTTGTACTAATAATGTAAACCAAACTTTATCTCTATGTCAGATGTCAATAGCTTAACCAAAACTTACCAGTTAACAGATTAATAATTCAGGTAGCGTGTAAAAGTCAAAACAATTGCTGGTTTAATTACTCAATAATTATCCTTTGAGATCCGAGTATAACCTATACAGCATACCCTACTGTTAAAAACAATACTATAACAACTTTAATGATACCTATAATCTATAACAAAATATAATTATTATAATAAAAATATACTATTAAATTTTGTGAAGCTCTTTGGTCAACTATACCTCAAATTGTATACTACCTGATTAACAAAAATATAAATTAATAAAAGACAAAAAAGTACAACTTCTCGTTAATTAGAAAACACATTTTACATTTCTTTTTTCGTAAAATTATGCTATGGCAACATTATGTGGCATGATAACTTTTTACATATGTAAACATCATAAATGCATTTTATAGAATGACCCTACTATTAAATATCAAATGGCCAAGCCTTATTTCAATCTATAATAAGACATCAAATATATCTTTGGTGTATTCACTGGCGAAGAGAGTAGGTACGTCTTGTTCAAATAATTTATAAACAGTAAAATAAATCCCATGTCGTTATTAAGGAGATATAAAGACCAATTAAAATTAATTAATTATCTGTACTTCTATAAATAATTTCTTCGTTTTCTCTACAAATTCCTTTGTTTTAAATACAGTACGTCCTACTCGCCGTAATTGCACAGAATTGGTTTAGAATTTGTTTTCCTTTTAATAGCCTAAAACAAAATATTAATCTACATCTTAGAATTCTTGATCTGTAACAGTTAATTAAAATTATGATGTCAATTCCTCTAAGAGTTCTTCGGTAGAACGCTGCTCGTTTTTAAACTTTTCCATGTAATGTTTGGGAACTGTCCAATCTAGAAGAATTTGCACATTGGTTTTTAACCTTTCAGCATCTGAAAGAGTGGGATCATGACATGGTTCTCTTCCAGATCCTTCAATCGATTCCATGAGCACGTCATCAATCAGTTTTCTATTAAACCCCAATTCCTCTAGCCGTTCCGGTGCAGAAATTTTTTTTAATAAAACTGCCAATAATAACCGCATCTTTTCTATTCGCATAGGTGGTTCCACACCATTAACAATTACTTTAGTCTCGTCTCTATCAGGAGCTTTGACACAATCGCTCTGATGATGTTCTAAATCATTTTTTGTACGATAAAAAGATCTACAGTATTGGCAAACATATGGTTTATCCGATTTATGAATACAGAACATGTGCTTCTTAAGATGCGGCAATTGTGAAAAAGCAACATTATCACATAAAATGCAACGAAATGGTTTTTCTCCCGTATGACGTCTAGTGTGTAATTTAAGAGCGGTAGAATGTGCGAATGCTTTCCAACAAACTTGACATCTATAAGGTTTTTCACCACTGTGTATACGTTGATGTACAGTGAGTTGTGATCGCTGTGCGAACCGAGCCCGGCAATGCGCACAACCATGGGGCTTCTCATTTCGGTGTAGACGCATATGTTGCGGTAAATGTCCCTTAAGCATCTTGTTGCATATTTTGCAGTGAAAAGCACGAACATTTGCATGATAACAATTAAGGTGTTTCTTTAGAGCATCTCGTCGAAAAAAGGATTTTCCACAAAGATCGCAAACATAATCGCGAATTTCCTGATGTCGTTTAATATGTGACTTAAGGTTCGCTGAACACGTGAACGATGATTCACAAATATTACAAATGTAGGGACGAGAGCCTGTGTGAGTGCGCATGTGCTGTACCAGTTGACCACCACGAGCAAACGACTTCGGACATACCGAACACAGGTAGGGTTTTAAACCTGTATGCGTACGTAAGTGCAAGCGCAGACGTTCTTTAATTGGAAATGCCTTTTGACAAAAATCGCATACGTACATTTCTAGACTTTTTATGTTCGTTGAGTGTTGTGATGCTATATGGTTCTTTAATGAGCCGGCCTGCCGGAATGCTCTATTACACTCATTACAAATAAACGGACGTTCATTTGAATGAATGCGCATATGCTTGCGCAAATCATTACTACCCAAGAACTGTTTATTGCAGGTATTGCAAACGTGTTTACGAGGTTTTTCTTTGGCATAAGTCATTGGTCTCAATTCGAATAATTTTTAGTTATGACTAGAATTGTCGTTACTTTTGTTATTGCACAAAATTACGTTCGACTGTTAACACATGCGACCCAAAACCATTGTATACAAAAGGATGTAGCCACTAATTTAATACTCCCAACCACCAGAGTAAGGTTAGTGCATATTGTGATATTTTGTGTTTCTAACTATTATCTAATAAATCTATGAAAGGAATATCCATTTTTACATTTAACTCACCTTGCACCTGTAAGAATTGAAGAAAAAAGAAAATAAATAGTGACAGCCTTACCACCAAGGCATACAGTAAACAGCAAATCTTTAAAATGTTTTAGTTAGTAAAAGATGGAAAATAAACAGCTTACAAAGTTCAGTATATGCTTACAAGCAATGTCTTATTTAAGTAATNAATATAACTTGTAGAAAATTTTCTTCTATTAAAATAAAATACCTGGATACATAACAACTGTCAATGTATAATCAGCAGTCAATATTTAGTTATATATGTGGTATACTAGAAATCGCCATTAATTTTTTTGTATCTCTTATAGTTACCGAGTTGTCCAATAGAAACGACGAAATTATTAATATAAAATAAAGCAACTCGAACAAGTTAAACTATATTAATGTAAAGTAATGTAACTCGAGCAAATAAAATAAAAATTACACACTTAGAATTGGCTTTAAGAAAATGCATATAAAGTGAAATGCAGAAAAAAATATGAAAAATTTAATAGCACTGGAAAAAGAGAAACAGTGAGACAGTAATCTAAATGCACAATATAAACTTAATTCATATTGCAGTTTTAACCAATCATCACAAAAATTCTTAAGCAATCTATAACATATACAGGCCTCTATCAATAATATCAATCACAATATTTGACCTAAAACCAATTCTAACATGATTATACTATGATTTTAAAAGTGATCATGTTTTCATCTGTAATTTTTACAAAATTGTATTTTGCATTTGTATATGAGGTCAGTAGAATCGTACATGTAAAAAAAAGTTAAAACTGTAAAACGTTGATATGTTGTTAAAACCTGCGATGGTATGATAAACCTATATAATTGGACGCAACTTTGCAGCTTTGAAAAACCTGTGTTCTTTGAGTAATAAGTGAACATCTGCAGCCATTATCAGTTGTTTCTATAACTCATAAACAGTTTCAATATTAGCCCTTGTTGTCATTTATAAGTACACTAAATTTGCAATAATAATACAGATCTAACCACATTTTTGTGTCTCATTGTTTTTATATTGGTATTTATTAAAAAGAAAAAACAAAATTTCACATTTCGATATAATTATTCCAACGTATGAGGAAAGTAATATATAAATTTACATTTTTGTAAGAAAACAGTGGAAAACACAGAACTATGGATAGACTTAAATTGTTGTAAATATGACAAAATTTAAAAGTGGTAATAACTACTAATATCAAATAGTGGAGTTAGATGACAACAGAAAAAGATACAGATTTTCATAAACATATTACACAGATAACAGATTTTTTAAACCTGCAAACTTGAATTTACTCTATCCTAACTGGTCCTAACAACACATCAAACAATCACAACTGCATAATAAGGTTTAGGTGCCTTGATGAACCTTAATACTTTACTATTATAGAATGATAACTATTGATATAAAAATCATGAAAAATTAAATAAAAAGAGAACAAGAAAATCAAATGAAGAACTGTGGCAGTAGTAGTTAAATAGTTTTCGGATAATCACAAATTATCCCAAAATTCCACATGAAAACGTTAAAAAAACTGAAAAATTTCAACATCAAAATTAAATACTTGTATCTTCGATTTGTAAACGTTCGTTTTTATATGGAACTTACGGATTTAATGCCGTCAGGTTCAGGATTTATTTAAAAAAGAGAATAAACAACTTATAAAAATCAAGATAAAATTTCTCTTAAAATCTTATGACTTACCAAAGAAATTATATCCAACATATCTTAGAATTAGTATTGTAATTACTACTTAGTATATTTGACAGTCAAATATTTTGGCATTGAAGTTGGCAAATTTGGCTTTATTAAAGTTTTAATGAAAAGCCGGGAACATCAACTAGAATAAGAACAGTAATTTAAATTTAACATTAATAAATAACTTTATGTAAACAAATATTAACTGTCAATTACCTACTTCGTTGACAAATAACCTAATTGTCTAGTAATTTAAAATCATTTGAGGTAATTTTAAATGACATGTAGAAGGTTATGTAATTCCATACTATTCGCTCTTCCTTATGATAAATATTCATTTCTTTCGATTTTCTTACAGAATAGAAATTTTTTAATCAGAATCTACTACCAGATTAATACTACTACCACCACTTATTTTGCAATAAATTAAGCAACACTACGCTGTCCTTGAGAGATTATTACAGAGCAGGGTGAAACACAGAATCGATCTCCCAAAAGAAAAATACATCCATAGACATAGATATGCATAGATAAGAGACTATTGGTATCCGTCAAATGGTCATACACCATCTGGTGGCAAAATTTATAACTCGAATGAGGGAAAAATTTACATAGGAACTGTGCACGCAAATTGTAAAATTGTTTATTAAAATAATAAAACACGTTAAAAAAGTAAAAATTTTTTTGATGATGGAGTCGACGAAGTTTTCTTCTAAAGTTAAATCAAATAAAAAGTTAATATGTTCAGTGAAAAGCTGCAATAGCACTTCAGACATAGATCTTCACTCTTCACCTACATTAACTACTTTCCAATAAAAACTAACCGTTTTATATATGTAAAAAATATATTCGGAAAATTAGAGAAAAAAGTAAACTAATAGAAGCTTGGATGAAAGCAGTAGGTATCAAAGAAGTGAATTCCGGAATAAAAATTTGTTCACGTCATTTTAATGCACATGATTATATTTCAGCAAGTATTTACCATCAGCCATAACCTTAATATTTAAAACTAGAATCATACTAAAATTATAAAGTGAGAAATTATTTATTCCTGTGTAATTGATTTAACACAATTCTAATGATACGATATAAGTATTTTGAGGTTAAGAACCTACCTGCTGCAATACAACAAAGTTGCAATAATGTGTTTGCAACGTTCTCTTAAATCGGCTTTACACGTGCAATTACATTGATATGATATTGCTTAAATCACCCAGAATCACCTCACCACTTACATAACGTAAATCACTTTTTAAATCCGAAGTTTGTAAAAAGTAGGCAATAAACTTGACGGAATTTGAAGGCTACCTTCCGGATTTGTTATTTCCGAATTTTATAATGTGATTGGCATTAAAATTAAAAACACGCTCACCTTCAACGAAATTTCCTTTCCGAGGCTTTGTGTCAGCCCAATCACATATTGTGTCAATACTTATCATTTTATCGTAATTTAAAAACTTGGAAGTTGCACGGTACACTATAGATACTACGATAAATTTTCCCTAATCGGCGCCATGTTTTTAGGCTCCTCCCATTTGACGGATCCCAATAGTATATATTAAATGAAATACTGCGGGTGTTGCGCCATCTGGCAAGAGACAGCCGAACTAATATAAAAGGGCAATTTAAACGGGTCCATTGTTTTTCTATTGCTTAAAGGGAAATGAAGAATCAAGTGAAAAAGTTTTAAGAAACAAGCAATCTCCTTAAAAACTTAAGAAGGCAGATTCTAACTTGACAATTTTTCACTTAATCCTGTAAAAGCATAACGAAGAAAACAAAAAAATTAAAAGCACGTACATTGTTAATTGCATAACAGAACATACAAGTATTCAATAAAATGCATAATAAAATAACAGTCAATAATTAGGAAAAATAAAGTTAATACAGAATCGTCAATAAATAAAGGTACGATTGTATTTTTAATTTTAGACAATCGTTTGCAATTTGTCAGTCTAAAGTCGGTATTTCATTTTATAAATTAATGTAATGTTCTTTTTGCGACAAAAAAAGAAAGCACCTCTGCAACAAATTCATATTTACAGAGCCTTACAATTTTTTCAAGAGACCGTAGCTAATATCAAGACGGAAAATAACTATAGTCGTATGGAAACAATTGTAAGCCTTTCTATAAATATGAAAATTCCTCAAAGTAATTCTCCTGCACTATTCATTTAGTAAATTACAACTGTTTAATAAATAATGTATCACAACTAGCTTTATTAACTTTTAATGATTTTTGTATATGAGAAGTGCAAATGTGTTAACCATGTATAAAGTTCTTCTAGAGTAATTTGGTGTACTGCTGACAGTTTGGCAATTTTAGAAAGAAGGTTTTTTGTTCGTTATACAAAATGTAATATTATGAAAGAGAAATTAGTCCTCGGTTGGTGAAAGAAAATAGTAATAAAATATAATCTTATGCGTGACTAACAAAATATTGACAATGGATGGATAACTTGTTTTAGACTAAACTTATTAAAAACATGCTTTTACTGTAAATTGGAATAAATTAATGGGAGTTTAAAATAAGAAAGTTATATTCACTGAAAATAACTTATGTTTAGCCTTACGTGGATATAAAAATAATTACAGGATAGTCAAGTATGTGGCCCGTTTGCACCGACGTTTTACTAAGGCAGACTTAACAAAGTACTGCTTAAGCATAAGTCTTACTTAACTTCCAATTCGTTTGCACCGTACGCTGTCTACCTGCAACTTAAGTAAGTAGTGCTTAGTTGTTGATGGTTTGGCAACAACGGTAAAATTTAGTAATTTGTAGGGTTTTTTGTGCAGAATGGTCAAGAAGTTTCAAATTTATTGTGTCCGTTAAGTAACATCTGGTGTCGTGAAGTGTTGTTTGCCGCCTTTTTCTGCTTTTATACGTTTTTGTTTTTGTAATTATTTGTGTTTTGTTAGGTTTTGTTGTGTTTTAGTTTGTATATATATTAGTGATATGATGTTAGAAACAATTTTTAGTTGTAATTGGTATAGTGTAGAGACAATTTTCTTCTGAATTTCGTATAAACAAACCTTTTCCAACTAAAAGCAGTACTACAGGAGTTTAACTGTTAACGCCAACTGCCAAAATGAACTCTTAAGTGTAATCTAAAAGTGTTTATTTTCAATAAAAACCAAACTTCTGATAAAACGTACTATTATTGTATATTATTAGTTCACCTTCTATTACTAATGATTAGCTATTGGCGTTCTTATCACTACTCCAGTTAAATTGTGTACATTTTCAAATTTCTAATATATCATCAGATACTAATTACTACTCTTGGAATGTAAATAATCCGTACATTGCAATACAATAACATAAATGATAACACACACCAACTTCCATTTAATGATAATTTAATTTAATAATTATTATATTGTTTATTTTATTATTTAATAGTAACATGATAATAACCTCTTTACTATAACGATGTTATTTTCTTACGGCGAAAAATGCCGAACTACTGCCGAAATTGTTACGATAGGCTTAAGCAATGCTTAAGTCAGGAACATCCTGTGCTTAAAGTTAAGCATCTGTTCCGATTCTTAAGCGCGACTTAACTTGCGGTGCAAACCAATTCCGTCTTTTAAGAACTACTTAAAGCTAAGTAGTACTTATTTACGTCGGTGCAAACGGGCATGAAGTACGTACTGGTTTTTATTCATAATGCTTACCACATGTCTATTAAGAAATATTATGAAAATTGTCTAATAAAACTGGAAATTCGGGCTGAGTATCCTAGCGTGACCTGCACCTCCCCTTCTAGTCACCCTCAAAATGATCCTATGAAGGAAAGCTGGATCAGGACGAGGATCACGAATGTGCTACCGCCAAGACTGGCACAAAGGTGACGCTAAAACGGCAAGACTCCGTAGCTCTTGCGCAGGCGCGAAATAATTTTGAGTTATGTCTATGATTTTGCTCTTGCCGCTTTTTTATTCGAATTCAAACAAACGATCTCAAGCGTTCTGATCTGTGGAGTAGAAATAAACTGGGCAGTAATCTACTAATAATTGATAATGTAGGCAGAAAAATGATACTCATATACAATGTAAACGCATTCTTTATTAATATGAATGGAAAATAAAATAAAAAATTATTTCAACAAATTTATAATGCAAAATAAATACATAACAAACATGTTTAATTAATTATTAAATTTATTGTAATTATGGACAGGTTTCTATGAAACAAAGCTAAAACATCACAAAAAACGAAGAAACAATTCTCACTTTAAACTTTTTCGAAGGTTTTTATTAAAATACAAAGTACAACTGTTTCGATTAGATTAAGTCTTTCTGAAGAGTACATACAAAATGGTTTTGTGAATCCTAATGTACTCCTTTTTGCTTTCGTTAACTTTATCGTCTATAAAATAAAAAAACTTTTAATCAAGGTTTCTCATTTAATGTTTAGAAAAACTCATGTTTGGGATTAGATTACATACGTACTTTATTTTTTCTTAGATGGGAAATACTCCTGTTGGTAATTGTGGAGAATCGCGGCTTTTGCTAAAACGTTTTCTTAAATTTCTACTTTGTTTTTTAACTTTTTCTATATGCTTTCCAAATTCCTTGAGTGCTACTTGAAAGGCTTCATTATCCAGTTGATTCATTGCACTGCGATACGTTTCCATTGCTATCTCCAATTGCGTTTCACGGTCTTGGTGTACTTCTTTGTTTAAATTAAATTCTAAAAACGATAAATAATATAACAGATATAACGTAAAAACGTCTGCCTAATAATACAAACAAATACATTAAATTGTTCGACACTATTTACACCAACACCACTTATAAACTAAACACAAAAATAAGTAATTGTTTCGAGAAAGCAGAATAAATTCGCTTTTTAAACAATGATTATGAGTCTTTGTTTAATCCATAGATTAAACACTGTTGCATGTGCACAACTCTGCAGATGAAGGAAATCCAAAAACGAATGAAAAAAATCAGCAGACACGATTAACCATGAATTGAATTGACGGTTAAAAATGTAGTTAGAGGTTAGAACGATTTAAAAATATGAAAAAGGGCGGCAAGGTGATTCTCATAGACATTCTTGACAGGAATCAATTTCGCGCCTGCGCAAAAGGTACGGAGTCTTGCCATTTTTTAGTGTCGCCTTTGGGACAATGTAACCGGAGCAACAAAGAACGTAGAGACTCCCATGGAACGATTGAGACTCGAGGACGAGCGACTTAGAGAAACGACGACAAACACAGAGGGCAGCACCAACAACGCTCTCATGGCCAGACGTGAGAAACACAGACAGTCGTCTAACAGCAGGCAGGACAAGTCACAGCTCGCATGCTACAAATGTGGGAAAAAATGTCACGTGCTCAAGGAGTGCAAGGGCAAACCGTGTGAGAAATACATTGCCTATTGCAAGAAGAAATCCTCATGCAACATATGTAAGAAGAAAGGACACTTCGCAAGAGAATGCGAATCCCGTGAGGATACAAACAAGTCAGGAAACGGGAAACCTCCGAG